TGATACCATCTTTCAACACATAATATTTACATCTAGCTATTACTTTTAGTATATTATATAAAATATGTATAATAATATTCCCCCTTGATCTTGTTTCTGCCTCTATTCTAGCTCTCAATAAAGCCAATCTTATATTAAACAGCATTCCCTTTCTAACCATCATCTCTTGCCTGCTTTAGTATTTCAATTCTTATTCATTTTTTGACTTGTCTTCCAAACTCCTCCCTTGGGTCTTCGTCTCTGTCTACATCTTTCTTATTTAACTGAAATATTTCTTCCATCTCTACTATCTTTTGCTGCCATACCTCTGGAGGATCTACCCAAGTCCTTATCTTTGTTTCAAAAATGTCTTTCTTTTTATCCAATCCCATTTTTTTTATCTCTTAATATACATTGTCCCTTATTTGATTCAGAAGTCTTTATTAGCTTCTCTTTCTTCTCTCCTTGTTTTATTTGTTAATTTATCTGTTCTATCTTTTCCTCTGGTCTTTCTATTATCTCCTCTATTTCCTGTGTTTTATGATATTTATTCATTGTCCCTTGTTGAACATTTTCTGATTTCCCCACAATGTCATGCATTAAGTCTTTTATCTCCCTGTGGTACTTTACCATCAACACCATTTCTTTTTGAAATCCACTCATCTCCCCCTGATGCAACATCTCATCTTATTTTGATAGGTCCAGTTATTGCTCAATAGCCTGTCAGAAATCTGTCACCACCCCAAAGTCTCAATTGTCTATGACCTCAGAAATCCATCTTAGAAACTGTTTGCTGAATCTTAGGGTTGCTCCTCAGGGGAATGCAATAGTTATAGTTCTTTATACACACACACAAACACACACACATACACACACACACACATAACAGAACCAGCCCAAAAGAAATGAAGTCATTCCAAATGAAGGAATGGTCTTCTATATCATTTTATTTTGGGGTCCAAATCACTTCAGTTGAATATAAACAGGGCTTGATAACGAAGGAATCCAACTCAAGCTAAGCAAGGAAGAATTGACTTTGCTCCATAAAATTGACATCTCTCAGTCAGGTTAAAGCTTAAGACCTCTTGCTATGATCCATTATGAATAAATGGAAATGATTGTGCTTCTTATAATATAAATGCTAAAGAGAAGTATTCTAACACTAAAATCCAGATAGGCATGTTTTCTTCTCATCCTCAAGTCAGCCGAAAAGTATACTGGCATGCTTCCAGCCAGAAATATGGAAAGTTTTGGAGGGTTTTTTTTTTTTTTTTAAAAAAAGTTCAAGGCTAAATTTTTGATATTTGCTTCTTTATTTTAAAATTTTGCTTTCCTATTTTAAGAGGAATCAATCTTTTAATCTCATGGAATATATAGAAGGTCAATACTTTGTTCAGAGATAAGGCCCACAGATTCCTTTCTTCTTCTTTTTGTTTATTAAGAAAAAGGTCAAATATAAACAAAATGGTGCATTCTTTTCAAAAACAAGGAGAGGTGCAACATTCTAGAACCCCTCTCTGTTCAATTAGGTATCAAAAAGATATAATCTAGTGTCATCTAATTTTCTTCTGTAAATCATACTTTTATATATCCAATAACAATAGCATTTAGGCTTACAGTATATACCGCTTCACAGTACTTTTACAGCCCTCTCTAAGCAGTTTACAGAGACAGCATATTGCCTCCAACAATCTGGGTCCTCATTTTACCACCTCGGAAGGAGGGAAGGCTGAGTCAACCTTGAGCCTGGTAATCTGCCAAATTGCAGGCAGCTGGCAGTCAGCACAAGTAGCCTACAATACTGCATTCTAACCACTGCGCCACCGTGGCTCATGCAAGGTATTTATGACTATGAGCTTGCATTTGATATAATCACTATCAGACACATGTCTTCCACCTCACCAGGAACCAGCAATGATCTTTGGCAGGTTGCTATCAGTCACACTCATTTCATTTACAGTAAGAGAATTAGAACAGAAGGTAACACTAGTCGGAAGTTGAAAAAATGAAATTTTCCAAAAGGAAAATTATGATTAGCTAGAAATGTAGATAATAAACCTTTTTTTATTACATTAGTCTGATTTAAAAAAAAAAGCATTACACTGGATTTCCCTCTTTCTTTCCCTGTATGAAAAAGATAACATTTTAATTAAGAAGGAAACTTGGCAGAAATCTGCATAATTATTAACCTGCTTGGATACTTTCTTGCTTTTTATGTAAAAGTGGTTTTCTGAAAATTATGAAATACATTCTTAATAAATGACCACTAATTAAGGAAGTTTAATAGACCTTAGCTTCTATAGCTTTGAAAACATTGCATACAATGTGTCTTTGCTTATTCTTTCATTGTCATACAGTTATAATGAACTCTGCTTTGGTGAACACAAGTTTTTAATGTTCAACTCTTTGCAGATGTTAAGTGTTTGGTTGACATATAGATCTAATGAGAATAAAGTGCATTATCATATTTATTTGCCCTTTCCTCCATTGGGCGCCTGCCCTTCACATATTTGAATCGATATCTATGTTATATACTGTCATTGGGGCGGTGGCCTAGAGGTGAAGATGCTTGCCTCCCACTTGGACAATTGAAAGTTCAATCCTAGGTAGTGACAGATATTTCTCTATCGGGCACAAAGAGAACAATATCTGCTGTGAACTCCACATAGGTGTCAGGAAGGGCATCCAGTCAGTAAATGCTTAGCTCCATTCAGTCGCCCTGACTCCACCCTGATAACAGGGATTAGAGGATCATAAAATGAAAAAAATAAATCTATATAATATACTATATATTTACAAGTTACAACTAATATTATGTGTACTCTACAAAACTGTAACTGCTCTCTCTTATGTACATAGAGCTTATGTATAATACATAAGTGTACATATCCCCAAACTATAAAATATTTCAGATTTCAGAATGTGCGCTAGGATAATTTAAGAACTATTGCCCATCAACTAATTTGAGCTGTACTAATGTGTAGTCCAGAAATATGTATTACGTAGAAAGTGTAGGCCGTTATTAAAAATATCCTATTTACTATTAGAAACCAATCTTGAAATTCTTGTCAGATCAGAGGTAAAGAGGAAATTGGAAACAAGCTAAAATTGGAACGGAAGTTTTTTTTTCTTTGTCCCTATATGTCAGGTAGACTGCATATTTTGTAATGCAATTTTCAAGTTAAATATTACTATCGTGTACATACAAAACTGCACCCAAAATATATTTGTTAGGAAGAAATAAAAGAAAAATATGCAGAGCTTCAGACGAACCTATAAAAATACATTGAAAATTGATGTTGAAATGGTATGGAATAAACATGCAAACATGATAAATTGAATAAAAGCCAAGTTAATTGATATGTCTTTTGGCTTCTCTTCTCCTATTATAGAAGGCTAGAAATGTGGATGTTATTCAAGGACTTATATACATGCAAACATACTAGTATTCCTTTTATAACATGGAATTCTTCTAGGGCAGTGATGGCTAACCTTTTTGCCGTCGCTTGCCAAAAGTGGGGGGAGCACAGGGAAGTCACCCACATGCGTGTCCATACCCACAATTCAATGTGCCCACCCCTGCCCCCCCACCACTTTTAGCACACAATGTCACAAAAATGGGTAGGCCCATTTTTCACCTTCCCCAGGCTCCAGAGGCTTTCTAGAAGCCTGGGGAGGGAAAAAACGGCCTTCCCCACCCCCCTGAAGGCCCTCCAGAGGCTGGAAACAGCCCATTTCCCAACTTCCAGTGGGACTGGAAGGCTCAAAAATCAGCTGGGTAGTGCACGCATGCGCGCTGGAGCTGAGCTACGGCAACATTCGCGTGCCCACTGATATGGCTCCATGTGCCACCTGTGGCACCCGTGCCATAGGTTCGCCATCATGGTTCTAGGGAATAGCCAACACACCAGAAGACAAGCTCAGGATCCAAAAATATCTTGACAACCTTGAACAAGGGGCCCTATCCAGCAACATGAAACGTAATGTGGACAAAAGCAAGGTTTTACACCTAGGCAGGAAAAACCAAAGGTACAAGTACAGATTAGGTAAAACCTGGCTCAAAAACAGTAACTGTGAGAGGGACCTTGGCATCTTAGTGGACAATCAATTAAACATGAGCCAGAAGTGCGCAGCCACCGCCCAAAAAAGCTAACAAAATCCTTGGTTGTATAAACAGCGGCATAGAATCAAAATCACATGAAATATTAGTATCACTTTATAAATCCTTGGTAAGACCACACCTAGAATACTGTATCCAGTTTTGGTTACCACATTACAAAAAAGATGTAGAGACTTTGGAAAAAGTGCAGCGAAGAGCAACTAAGATACTTAAGGGCATGGAGACAAAAACATATGAAGAACGGTTGCAGGAATTAGTATGGCCAGTTTAGAGAAAAGAAGGTCTAGGTTTGACATGATAGCAGTATTCCAGTATTTAGGGGGCTGCCACAAAGAAGAGAGGGTCAACTTATTTTCAAAAGCACCAGAAGGCAAGACAAGAAACAATGGATGGAGACTAATCAAGAAGAGAAGCAACTTGGAATTAAGAAGAAACTTCCTAACAGGACAATTAACCAGTGGAACAGCTTTGAGTTCAGAAGTGGTAGGTGCTTCAACACCGGATGTTTTTAAGAAAAGACTGAACAACCACCTGTCTGAAATGGTATAAAGTCTCCTGCTTGAGCAGGAGCTGGACTAGAAGACATCCAAGGTCCCTTGCAGCTCTATTTTGATTGATTGAAGAGAACAGACTGAGTTATGGTATTCAGCCATGTTGAAACCAAGGTTAGTGGAACATTCAAACATCCACTCAAATGAAGAAAAGTATTTTCAGAACCAGACATTGTAATTCCTTCACATTGTAACACTTTCCCTCAATTTTATCTTTTTGCATCTTTGGAGGAAGAAGGGGCAGAGGAAAATAGAACTCATATTGTTGCCTTCAGCATTCATTTTAGGGGTGAAGAGTATATTCCATGGTTGCTTGGCAACGACCATTGCTTCAGTTCTTTTCTGTTGAATTGGCAAGAAAATCTTCTGGACTGAAGCACAAAGGTGCATTGTAGCCTATAAGGGAGGATCAGACTAAACTGGAATGTCTCCTATTTTGCAATTTTCCAAATAGAAGGGATTATTTTCTACCAGGGCTACTACATTGGACTGCAATGAGCTGGATGAACATCCGATGGTAAAGAGGTTTCTTTTCCAGTAAAGAAAAGAAATAGAAAAGAAGCTATTTTGTATAAGAGAGAAATCATGAATTTATCACACACACACACGCACACACACACACACACACGAAAAGGTGGTGGCTTCAGGACAAATTTTAGATTTCAAGGACTGGATCAGGCATTTTAACTTTTGGGGTCCAGTAGCTTTACCTTGAATGTTAAGAATAAGTAAGAGTGTTTTATCTTCCATTTTATCTTTTTTTAAAAAAAAAAAATTGCCATGGGTAAGATTTGCAGTCATAAAACACCCATTATTCAAGACAAAAAATGGTGGGTATTGCCTTATTTTTTTTTAAAGGAAGGAACTAACTTTAGAACAAGTGTTCTATCAAATTTATACATAGAACATAGAATAATAGAGTTGGAAGGGACCTTGGAGGTCTTCTAGTCCAACCCTCTGCTTGAGACCCTATACCAGTGGTTCTCAACCTCCCTAATGCTGCGACTCTTTAATACAGTTTCTCATGTTGTGGTGACCCCCAACCATAAAATTATTCCTAAAACCATTAAAAATATGTGTTTTCCGATGGTCTTAGGCGACCCCTGTGAAAGGGTCATTCGACCCCAAAGGAGTCACGACCCACAGGATGAGAACCACTGCCCTATACCATTTCAGAAAAATAATTGTTCAGTCTCTTTTTGAAAGCCTCCAGTGACGGAGCACTCATAACTTCTAAAGGCAAGTTGTTCAATTGGTTGATTGCTCTCACTGTTAGGAAATTTCTCCTTAGTTCTAGGTTGGTTAATTGTTTACTCTCTCCTTGGTTAGTTTCCATCCATTGTTTCTTGTCTTGCCTTTCATTGCATTGGAAAATAGCTTGACCCCTTCATCTTTGTAGGAGCCCCTCAAATATTGCAACACTACTATCATGTCTCCCCAGTCCTTCTTTTCAATAGACTAGATGTGTGATGGCGAACCTATAGCACGGGTGCCACAGGTGGCACATGGAGCCATATCTGTGGGCACGCAAGTGTTGCTCTACCTCAGTCCAGCACGATTTTTGGGCCTTCTGGGCCCACTGGAAGTCGGGAACAAGCTGTTTCAGGTCCTCTAGAGGGCCTCCGGGGGATGGGGAAGGCCGTTTTCACCCTCCCCAGGCTCCTAGAAAGGCTCTGGAGCCTGGGGAGGGCAAAAAATGAGCTTACCGAGCCCACCATGCCACTGCGTGCCAAAAGCAGGGGGAGAGCAGGGGGGGTCACACATGCATGCGGTGGGGGATGGGGCGCATTGAATTATGGGTGTGGACACGCGCACGTGCAATCCCCCCCCGCTTTTGACACATGACGACAAAAAGGTTAGTCATCATTGGGCTAGACATACCCAATTCCTGTAATCGTTCTTCGTATGTTTTAGCCTCCAACCCCCTAATAATTTTTGTTGCTCTTTTCTGCACTCTTTTCAGAGTCTCGACATCTTTTTTATATTGTGGTGACCAGAACTGGATGCAGTATTCCAAAGATGGTCTTACTAAGGCTTTGTAAAGCAGTACTAGAACTTCACATGATCTTGATTTTATCCCTCTGTTAACGCACCCAAGGTTTTGTTTGCTGCTGCTGCACACTGTTGGCTCATATTTAAGTGATTGTTCACTAGGATTCCAAGATCCTTCTCACAATGTTGAGCCATCCTTCACCTAGCATGTACCTATACAATATTGATTGTTCTGTATTGCTAACCAAAGTTAAAGGCCAGAATCAAGAAGGGCCCACTTCCTGAGCTCCTCAGTTAATGTTAAAAGTCACCTCTGTTGAAAGATACAACTATACATGCCAAAAGTGGCTCTGATTGAGGTGTGAGGTAATATTTCCATCATTAGTATTGAAGATAGTTCTCTGGGGACTTCACAAGTAGAGCAATAGGAAACCCTCTACAATTTACATTTCCCACAAGTTATTCTGATAGCCCAATTAACTCTGCATTTTGTTTTAATATATAGCCACAGTGGCTAATAGCCAAGGAATCTGCTTGCATTTTGAAGAAGACCCAAACAGAGAGATTGCCTAAAGTTCAAGGGGAAAAGTGAAGGATTGTGACAGTCATCCTAGAAATGATGTCACTGTAAATAAGTCAGTTATGGAAGATGCAGACAGAGATTGGTGACAGTCAAGCAAAATGAGCAATAGCCATGTGCACATCTGCAATGAAGACAGAAATTGACAATAAAAGCCTAGTCTGGATATTTTATTTAGCTAAACCATTTTATTTTAATGTGTTTTATGATTAATGTCAAGATACTTAGAATGCCATTGGCATCTCAACGTACATGTTAAGTGCACTAGATAAAGCTCTGTAAAAGCATTATAAAAGCATTCATGCTCTGGTGACCAAATCTCATTTGCAGGCAATACTAATGTGGTGTTATTATGATTCTGTCAGGGCCAGTAGAAGTTAGAACCCCTCCCCCAACTAAATTTAATAGGAGTTGAATCAGCCCAGCCATTAAATGTTTCCAGACTGAACGTCCCAACCTCCATTATTTGACTGTTGCCAGCACCAGATGCTACAGAGACTCCTGCAAAAAGACAAGAATTATTAGAACTAAAATGATATGAATCTCTAAAGTTTGAAGTTAAAAGTCCAACTGCAGGACAGGTTTCAGTTATGTAATCTGTTCTATATAGGACAAATTGTGTATGTGTATGTGTATGTGTATGTGTATGTGCATGTGCATGTGCATGTGCATGTCTATATCTATATCTATATCTATATCTATATCTATATCTATATCTATATCTATATCTATATCTATATCTATATCTATATCTATACACCACCACCTCATGTGTATATATGATTTTTTTTTTTTGGTCTTTAAAATCTGACTGCTTGGAAGCTGACTTTGCAACAAATTAGCAGGGCTGGTTTGCAAATAAAAATGCATGCCATAAGAGAGTCAAAACAGTTCCAAATAATCCAGTGGAATGGTTTTCTTTTCTAGAATTGTCTTAAAGAAAATATTTAACACTTTTTAAATCTATTTTAAGAGAAGCTCAGTGCAAAGACCTTCATCCTAGGTAAATGTAGGAACGCATTTTTACCTCTGACAGTAATTGGCAGTCATACTACACAGATACTAGAAGGTTTGAGAAGATAGGTGGTGGGTAGAGAACTACTGTGTGCTAGGAATGCTTATTCATGTTTATTAATTATTTCTTCTGTAGCTTATCTTCTTGTGCATATATTCAATTAGTATTCATTGGGCTATTATTCTTTCAACACTATAGCTTGCTGTTTGCTTGTTCTTTGAGTAATTTTCACTGTAATGATATCCTTAGAATATCTAGTTTTCACTATATCTTGGATCCTGAAGCGGAAGCTCAAATACTTTGGCCATCTAATGAGAAATGGGAGTCATTGGGAAAGACCCTGGTGATTGGAGGCAAAAGGAGAAGGAGAAGACAGAGGATGAGATGGTTAGAGAGTGTCATCGATGCAAACTCTGGGAGACAGTGGAAGACAGCGGGTCCTGGCATGCTATGGTTCATGGGTTCACAAAGAGTTGGACAGAATTATAGCAACCGAACAACAGCATATCTTGGTTCAGCATAGCCACTTACCTTTGAAATAGCTTACAGAAGAGATAATATTCCATCCCTGTGGCCCTACCGACACATTGATTCCTGGAGTGCCAGTCCCATATTGATGGCCATGATTTCAGAGATAGAATAAAAGAATAACAGAGTTGGAAGGTACCTTGGAGGTCTTCTACCCAACCCCTGCTCAAAAAAGAGACTCTATATACCATTCCAGACAAGTGGCTGTTCAGTCTCTTCTTAAAAGTCTCCAGTGATGAAGCACCCACAACTTCTGAAGGCAAGATGTTCCACTGGTTAACTGTTCTCACTGTTGGGAAATTTCTCCTTAGTTCTAGGTTACTTTTCTCCTTGATTAGCTTTCATCCATTATTTCTTGTCTTGCCTTCTGGTGTTTTAAAAAATAGGTTGATTCCCTCCTCTTTGTGGCAGCCCCTCAAATATTGGAATATTGCTATCAAGTCCCAAATTGGATGATAGACCTTCTTTTCACTAGACTAGACAAGCCCAATTCCAGCAACCATTCTTCATATGTTTTAGAACAAGGGTGTCAAACTCAGGACCCTCGGGCTGGATGCATCATACGCTGGCCACGCCCATGCCCAGTTAAGCAAAGGGGGAACAGTTGCAATATGTCACATGATGCCGCCATGACAACGTGAGTTTGACACCCCTGTTTTAGATAGTTTAAAGAGATACTTCTAGAGTTGAACTGGCATCATGCAATCCTGAAATCCCATAATTCAGAGACACATATATCCTTCCTTTCAATTTTTTGAATTGAATATGGCCTCGGCCTGATTTCTCATCTTCATCTTCCCCCTACTTTCTCAATACCCAGCTTGCTTTGCATACATTCAAGATAAAGAAAAAAACAATTTAGGGCTGGGATAAGAAATAATGAAAAAGTATATACAATGTGTTTGTTTGTATGTATGGCTGGGAGGCTGTATATATGTGTGCCTTTGAGTCTGTCTTGATTCCTGATGACTGCTTGGGAAAGCCCCTGCAGCAGTGGTGGGTTGCCCCCGGTTCAGACCAGTTCGCAAGAACCGGTAGTAAAACCGGTGGAAGGCCCCACCCACCACCCCGGATGTAATTATCTGTGATCTGCACATGTGCGCGATCCCATTGCGAACGGGTAGTAAAGGTAAGTAGAACCTACCCCTGTCCTGCAGTTTTCTTGGCATGCTTTTGGAAATGGTTTGCCATTGCCTTCTTCCTAGGGCTGAGAGAAAGTGACTGCCTCAAGGTCACACAGCTGGCTTTGTGCCTAAGGTAGGACTAGGACTTATTGACTCCCCATTCATAATATGGTGCCTTAACCACTATGCCAAACTTGCTCTTATTAGTGGGCTGTGGAAAGATCAAAGACGTCAGCTTTGGGAAGTGAGAAACTGTGTCTGCAGATCCCATAGAAAGGTTTGCCTAAAACCACCATCTTGATAGGATTGCCAGCGTATCGTGGCCATAAACTTACATAAAGCAGGACAACAACAAAACCCTTATGAAAAACAAAACAAAATTATAGTGGTGGATATATTAGTTTTTTATATGTACAATGAAGATGAAGAAATCAAATGAGTTTCTCATACATGTAATAAACCAGATGCCTGCAAAGTCACCTTGCTGACTGTAGAGTGGAATATTTGGAGGATAATTCCTCATGGAGACAGAGATTTAATAGCATTTCTTTCTCATTACTCTGCACAGTACTTACTTAAATTGATTCCGAGTTCTCATTATTTCCCATCACATTTTACCTTCAGTTTTTTTTTCTTTTTTTAAAACAGATCTAGATTTGCTCCTAAAGTATCTTTATGCTCTGGGAGAGAGCTCAGTTTCAGTCCCACTTTTCTCTCAGGTGGTAAAAAAAAAGAAAGTGCAATATTGCCCTGTACAAGTGGAAGCTCTTCTTGCCAATAGAAAACTAAAAAAGTAAAAAAGTAGGAGAGAAAAGTAAGTTAAATCTCTTCCCTTGAGACAACATTTTGGAAAACAATAACAACCACCAAAACTAAAATATATATTTTAAAGATAAGGAATCATTCTATCACATGGAGTGGCAAGCTACAATGTTAACAATTGCTATGCATTTATGTTTATTTGCCATGTATGTGTGTGTGAAGAAGATAGGTATTCCTCAACTTACGACCACAACTGAGCCCAACATTTCTGTTGCTAAGTGAAACATTTGTTAAGGGAACTTTGTCCAATTTTACGACCTTTCTTTCCACAGTTGTTAAGTGAATCACAGCAGTTATTAAGCTAGTAACATGATGTCTATGCAGAGTTTTCAGCAAACATTTTGTCTTTGTGCCCTGAGAAAAATCTGCTACTACCTAGGACTTAACTCTCAGCCTTCTGAGTGGGAGGTGAGCATCTTCACCATTAAGCTATCATGCAGGAGTGAAATCTACTTACCTTCCTTACTGGTTCAGAAATGCACGTGCTGTGCACATGTCACATGTGCGCACAGACCTTCTGTGCATGCACAGAAGGTAAAAAACACATTACTTCCTGGTTAAAACAAGGAAGTAATGACACCCAGGCAGGTGGGCGGAGCTTTGCTCCTCCATCACTACCAGATTGCCGAACCACCGGCCAAGATCGCTACTGGACCAGGCGATCCGGTCTGATCTGGGAGCATTTCACCCCTGCTATCATGTCACTCTGAAGCTTACTACAATTTTATTTTATTTTATTTTATTTTATTTTATTTTATTTTATTTTATTTTATTTTATTTTATTTTATTTTATATTTTATTTTATTCATTTTATTTTATTTTATTTTATTTTATTTTTTATTATTTTATTTTATTTTTATCCCACCTTTATTATGTTTATAAGTAATTAGGAGGGGGGCATAGTTTAAATTTCTTCCTCCTCCTATTATTCTAAAACAACAATGCTGTGAGATGAGTTAGGCATAGAGAGAGAGTGACTGCCCCAGAGTCACCCAGTTGACTTTCATGCCTAGGACAGGACTAGAACTCACAGTCTCCTGGTTTGTAGTGTGGTGTGTTAATTATTAGACTAAACTGGCTCTCTTTAATTTTGAATCAGTCATGTAGTTCCAACTGGAATAAAGACGAGTTGTTTCATTTCAGTTTTTTCAAAAAAAGTTGTTCTACAATAACAATTGTGGCTTCTATTCTCTCAATCACAACAGTGTTAGATTGTAATAGTCATTGAACAGTTCTAAATAGATTAGCTTGATGCAATATGTGGATGAGAGAGTGGTAGAGGAAAACTTTTTCCCCTCATGAATGACAGAAAATGAATAAAGCTTCAAATAGGCTCCATTTGGACTCTTGTCCAGGTTCATTAATTTCAAGTCTTGGTTACCCAGGAAGAATTTCAAGGTCTGATGAAAGGAAGAAAAAAAAGATCCTTAGAGTTATTGTGTGAAAACTGAGTCTAATTTTCTACTTTATAAGTCATTTAGAATGTAGCTGAAATTTCTTGGATAAAAGTTAAAGGTAAAAGTTTTCCCTGCTCAGTCATATCCAACTCTATGGGGCTATGCTCATCTTTATTTTTTAGCCAAGGAAGCCAGTGTTGTCTGAAGACCCTTTCCATGATCATATGGCCAGCTTCACTATATGCCAAGATGCATGGAATGCTGTTACTTTCCCACTGAAGTGGTAC